TTCCAGATTATAAAATCGGATCCCAAATTCTTACTGACAAATATATAAATATGTGAGATCAACAGACATTATCAAGTATTGAAAAATATTCTTTCACTTCAGTCAAACACTGGACATGCTCTTATATTCTATCTTCTCTACGGAAGCAAGCGTTTGCTACTTTGCATTTTGGCAGCACCTCTCGGCTAACAGCACTGGCCATGCAGCCTTCATCTCTTTCAGACAGAGATGGTGAATTACTGGTATTTCATTTCCACCTCCTTTATGCAACCTGGCGTGGGATACCTATTGTGCATTTCATAGCAATAATAATCAGCAAATATGCTTCCATGTTTGGAAAGTCGTTCGACCCAAGTAGTATTGGAGGTAGCTCTAGTGGCTGAGTCCCTAGGAAGCTGTACTGTTTAGAGAAAGGCTGAGCCTCTCTGCCGGTTTGATTCCATCAGTAGCTTTTCAGAAGAAAGAGGAACAATCTCCTCTTGTGCGATTTACAACCTCTGAAAACCTGCTGGAGGGTCAGCTATGTGTCGGTTCCTTCTAGATGATAAAGAGTGAGTATAATCTTAAGGAGCCCATGGAGTATAGTGTGTTATTTATTGCACAGCTACTCAAGGGATACAAGTTCAAATCCACCAGTTTCTCTGTGGGAGAAAAAATGAACAGTCTCTTCCTGCAAAGATTTAAAGCCTTGAAAATCCCAATGGATCTCTGAACCTGAACCAACTCCACAGGCAGTGGCCTGGCATTCTCTTAATTAACTTCACATTAAAACTTTTTCAGCAAGACATTTCCCTAGCAATTACATATTATTGTTGTTATTGAGTATCTTCAAGTCAGAACCAACCTATAACCGACCCTCCAGTGGGTTTTCAGAGGCAGATAAACACATGGGAGGAGAATGGCCATCTTTCTCCTAAGGAACAGCTGGTGGATTGGAAACACCTATCTTTGCATTGGCTGCACTAATTCCTTACCATTAAACCACAAGAGTTGGATAGCAATTACTTATCTTTATAAAATAAGCTAATTCCAACACATAGCTTTCAGTAGGTGTTATGTTTTTTAGGATCTCCCCCCCACCAAAAGAGTTATCAGAAGCTCATTTATTTTTTTTAGCAGCTTGTGGAGAACAGAAGTGGGTTTACCCGTTGGTTTGCCTGCCCTTAAACCAGCACGCAGCAACTACCAACAACCATCTAGTAGTCAGTCTTCCACCCAAGATGACGTTTCCTCTCTTACTACTAATGTATTTCTTTCCTCTCCAAAGCAACAGACACTGAAAGACCAGGGTATTGCCATTACCACACATTTCAATACAATTGCACTGTGGGAACAAATGTTAACAAATATCATGAGAAAGCTATTCTTAAAGAGATATTAGGCGAGCACTGGTGGCCTAGTGGCAAGAAGCTGAAACTACAGTCTCAGAGGTGCATGGTTCAAATCCACCAGATGCTCTGCTGGAGAAGGAGGAACAATCTCTTCCTGTACAATCAGATCTGATTTGACGGTACACACAAAAAATAATGAAATAAAATAAATTTAAAGAAAAAAAGTTAAAAAAAAGATATTAATCTTAATTGGAAAAGAACTGTGTAATATTTAATCTCCATGGATACTGCAAGATGTAAGGGTAGGAGGATTTTTCTGTTTGGAACCTAAACTTTAAAATTTTAAGCCTAAGCTATTGCCTAATGTCAATCAACAACTTATCTAGTCTTTGGCCATTACGGTTTAGTGCATCAAATCTATTCTTAAGATGGTTTTAAAATTCAGTTGGGATACATTCATGGCCATATATTGGTTCTTGTTGATGTTATTTTCATTTGCTTCAACTTCAATTTGAACTTGGGCATGAGTAGCTGGTAGTTTGTTTCACAGTTAATCCTTGGTTTGGTTTTAACAGCTGACACTGAGCTTCTCCAATGTCTCTTTCTACAAAGATAGTCAATCTGATTCCTAAGTAGTCCTCAGGTAAAATACATGGATATAGTTGCAGTTTGTATTTTTTTTTAAATAAATTGTAATCAATAGATCATTTCTTGTGCAAAAGTCTATAATTTGATCTCCAGTCTTATTTCTGTCACTAAGACCCTACTGTCCAACTACCAGTCATTCACTGCCCTTCACTGCTAAAAAACAAAAACAACCTCCAAAACCACCACCCATACATGTTCCTTATAGAGCTTTCGTAAGTTTCCTTAAATTTGAAAGGACTTGCTTAACAAGTTTGTTGTTGTTGTTTGTCTTCAAATCAAGCATGACTCATAGTGACCCTATGATCAAAAGATCTGAAGGCCCTCTACAACTATCGACATTTATCAAAGTTCAGAGTTTCTGGGAGCATGTTGTTTAGGAAAGGGATGCCACTCCTGCTTCCAAAGTTTAAAAAGTATTTAAATTATTTGCTTTTGCAATATATGGTTTGCAAAAATACGTTTGGCTTCCATATTTGACATATATTAAAAAAATTTAACCTAAGCAATACGTTTGCTATTTAATTTACTATCATATGAAAACTTTCCCTTCAAGATTTTTTTCTCTGATGATTACATGTTTTTATAAGACTAACTTCAATGCATGGCACAAAAAGTGTAGACTCAAGCAAACTAAAATGGAAAATTAAATTTTTTTAAAAGCCACACAACACTGGAAATGAGATGCACCACCTAGTTCCTCCAATTCAACTCTACTCTTTAAATGATCAAGAAACTCTGGCCCTAGAATTTACTCTATGAACTGCGATTTAAAAAGAAAATAATCAGCAGCATAATTTTCTCTAATTACTAAAAACGCTTGTTAGGCCTAAGAATGGGGAGGTTCAGAGGGCTCTAGGCTCCCAGTCTTCTCTTCGAGTCATCAGGTTTCTATTCACCCATTTCGTCTTCGGGGATTTTGCCAAAACTCCCACTTGAAGAAGGAACAAGTCCAGTTAGCGCCACTTTTGAAAATGCTATTTCATACTTTTTTTTTAAAGTTCTATGTAACCACTTTCCTTTCTAACATGCCCAACAACACCACAGGCGGGTATAGGGGTGTCAGAGTAAGTGACGTGAAGGGTGCGATATTGTGATCTTCAAAAAATAAGAGGGTCCATAGGATAACCAGGTGTAGTACCATAAAGAGATGCACAAACAGTTGTTACTGTTGTTATTATTAGGGTGTGACTGTATCAGCTCCAACCCTTAATGAAACTGACTTATCCTGTGCCATCCTTCCAATCTCTGCTGTGCTCAAGGCCATCAGGCCCGAGGTAACCCAGCCCCTTGAAGGCCCTCTGCTTCCTCCCTCACCCTTCACTTTTCCCAGGATACTGCCTTTTTCCTGACAATGTGTCCATAGCATGTGAAACACAGTCTCACTATCCTTGCTTTTAAAGAGCATTATGGCAGAATACTCCATATTCTTCACCAACACCATAATTCAAAGGTGTCAATTCTTATTTGGTCTTTCATATTCACTGTCCAACTTTTTATATGGACACAACACAACTGAAAATACCATGGACTGGGTGAGGCGCACCTTAGTCTTGAAAATGGACATCCCTGCTCTCTCTGCTCTTCAGCATTTTAAAAAGGTCCTTGACAGCAGATCTGCCCGATGCAATACATCATTTGAATAGTCCAAACTAATAGGCCTTGTAATTACCATATGCAGAAACGTCAGAGTGGGGTGGTCCACTGTACTCAGGAGAGTGCCCTGTTTCTAAGAGGACTCCATGTGGCACTCCGGTGCCAGCTTTAGGAAACTCTGCCTCTAGAATAGCTATGCAGACCTCAACTTATTTTGTTCAGATTTCCATCTTCTGCAACAGAACATTTCGCTTCTGCATTCATGGATAATTACTAAAAGAGGCGAATAAATCTGTGTTTACCCAACAAGTATATCACTTTTCAATTATCTAAACAGTCAGGAAGAAAAATAATATTCTTACAGCAAAATTTAAAGGACTGCACTAGTAATTTTATCTGATTAAGTGCTCTGAAAATCAATTACTTTTATTTTCCTTTAACCATAACAGAAACATTTTGTTTTAAGAAATACCCATTAGAGAGGATCTTCTTCTAACTGGATGAGTTTAAAGATGTAATAGTTTTAAAACTTATGACTTGGATAGATAACCAATTTATTGAGTAAACCTCTAGAATTTTATTCCAGTGATAGAGTTTTTAAAATGATCTTTAGAAAGGATTGATATTAATAAATAATAATACATTAGAAAACACTTTGAAAATATAAAAATTGAAAGTCTAAGTACACAATGTTCTACATCCTACAACTTGGGGTCTTAAAGTTTGTAGGCAGCTAGCAAAGAAGAGTGAAGAAAATAAAAAAATCAAGGAAACAATCTGTCTAAAACAGTAACAGATCTTGAGAAGATCAGCCTCCACTTCCCTAAGCCCAGAAGACCTCCCACCTGCTACTACTACTAGCCAGAGTATCAGGGGTTCAACAGAAGGTCCCGGACAGCATGAGAGAAAGGTATAGAAGAAAATTCAAACAAATAAAGAAGACCAGACTCCCTCGTCTGATAAGAGACTGGTTGACACTCCAAGACTAGTCCTGAGATACTCTTCAAACCTGGAATTGAGTCTACACCTGAAGATCACTTATCAGCCAAAAAATAGGTCCATGCAAATGATAACACAACAAATCAGACAGACCAAAAGTATAGCATTTACTCAGCAATCAAGTCCAGAAGGCAGGAAGAAATAGGAAATGACAAAACGACAAAAGGGGCTCAGGGAGGAAGCAGGAAGGGGGACTGTGACACTGAATTTGGAACTCACGTCACAAAATAAAATGTAACAGAATTGTTGAATGGAAAACTAACTTGCTCTGTACACTTTCACTCAAATGACCCACTCAACCCACACCAAGTCTAAGGAAAGAAAACATATTCTTATAACCTATCCTCTGAAGACACAAGTTATTTTCTATTCCAAATAGATGTCATACTGTTCCAATTTTTGTTAGAAGGATCAAAATAAAATACTCACAGTTACTTATCACTCCTCCCAGCGGATCACCTTTAAAGTCAAATTCAATGTCCATATATTTGCCCTGCCAAAGAAAGACTCGGTGAGTTTTCAGGTTCATTAAAACAAAAAACAAAAAAAAAATTTTAAATCAGATAGCATTATCTTCTTTGAAATGGCATAGTAAGTCCTTTTTCAAAACCTTTATTTCAATGTAATTAAAAATATAGCACAGTTTATTCAACCATGACCAAAAAAAAACCAACAAAACCAACCACACTTCCACAAATTATTCTTACGAAATAACCCATTACCTCCAAGTTAATATATCAAAAAGCTAATATAGCATGTTATGAGTATTTAAGAAGAAAAGATCTGATGCCCTGCTCTGTCCGCTGTCTGTGCTGCTAGGAGTCCCCCGATGTGGTTGAGAGGCCGGACTTGGCCATCGAAGCTCAGTATGAGGACCAGACGATGCGCATCAGTGGCAAGGGTGATGTCCCCACGGTGCACCCCACACCCAAGCACTTCACCTTCAGGACCACCTGGCAGGTGCCCCTCCTAGGGGTCATGCTTCTCAGCTGGGGTGGCAACAACGGCTCCACGCTGACAGCCGCCGTGCTGGCCAACCAACTGTGCCTGTCCTGCCCCACGCGCACCAGCCGCAAGGAAGCCAACTACTCCGGCTCGCTGACCCACATAGGCACCGTGAGCCTGGGCCCGCGCAGGAGGTGCGCGTGCCCTTGCTGTTACCCAGGGGGTAGCCCCACGACCTGGTGTTTGACAGCTGGGACATGTTGTCGCTGAACTTGGTGCAGTCGATGCGGCATGCGCCAAGAGCTGAACTGGTGGTTGCAGGAGCAGCTGTGGCTGAGCACGGAAGTGCTGCGCCTGCGCACACCCCTCTGTCTACATTCCAGAGTGCATCGCCGCCAGCCAAGGCGCCCCGCAGCCAGCCAAGGCGCACGTGCACAGCTGCTGGAGCAGATCCGCAAGGACATCAGAGACTTCCGGTCCATCAAGGAGTTAGATAAGGTTATTGTGCTGTGGACAGCGAACACTGAGCGTTTCTGCGATGTGGGCCCCAACTGAAATGATAGGGCTAAGAACTTGCATCTAATCACTGAGGTGGGTGAGGAGGTGTCCCCGTCCACGCTCTTCGCTGTGGCTGGCACCTTGGAGGGCTGTGCCTTCCTCAGCAGGTCCCCACAAAAGACAGTGGTGCCGGGGGGCTCTGGAGCTAGCGGTGTAGCACCGTGTCTTTGTGGGTGGGGACGATGTCAAGACTGGCCAAAGGTGAAGTCGGTGCTTGTGGACTTCCTGGTCCGCTCTGGCCTCAAGACCACGTCCATCATGAGCTACAACCACTTAGGCAACAACGATGGGCAGAGCCTGTCGGCACCATCCCAGTTCCGCTCCAAAGAGCTCTCCAGGAGCAACATGGTGAACGACATGGTGCTCAGCAATCCAGTGCCCTATGTGCCTGGCGAGGAGCCTGATCATCGGTTGGTGATCAAGTATGTGCCGTACGTGGGTGACAGCAAGTGTGCGCTGCATGAGCACACATCGGAGCTGATGGTAGGTGGCACCAACACACTGGTGTTGCACAACACTTGTGAGGACTCCCTGCTGGCCGTGCCCATCATGCTGGACCTGGGGCTGCTGACTGAACTGTGCCAGCGCGTGAGCTTCCACACTGACGCAGACCCCGAGCCACAGGGCTTCCACTCGGTCCTGGCACTGCTCACTTTCCTTTTCAAAGCGCCACTCGTTACCCCGGGTAGCCCTGTAGTCAACATGCTCTTCCGCCAGCGCAGCTGCACCGAGAACATCCTCAGGGCGTGTCTGGGGCTGCCGCCTTCGAACCACATGCTGCTGGAGCACAACAAGGAGCGCCCGGATTCCGTGCTCAAGCCTACAGGACCTGTGGCTTGCCTGTGCTGCGGAAGAAAGGACCGGCAACAGCTGCCTCCAACAGCTGCACCGGTGATGCCAACAGGCCATCAGCAGGCTGAAGGCCCTCAGATGGCATCTCCCCATTCCTGTTCCTGCTGCCGTAGAACCTCACTCTGCCAAGCCCCACCTTAGACAATAAAGATACCCCACCATTAGAAAAAAAAAAAGGAAAAGATCTTAGTCATCATATAACTTTCCATTTCAGATAGGGGTTTTATACTTGTAGAGAATGTGTGTATTTTAGATTATTAACTAGGAACTTAAGAGGTAGCCTTTGTATATGCACTGGTTGATGCAACAAACTATTTCATGTTAACAGGTAAAATGTGTTCTAAGCCATTGTTAGAAATGCCAAACAGACTGATAATGGATGAAGCGAAACACTCAAAGTTCTGTTTTTACATCTACTCAAATAAAAAAAAACCAAATATGAGTGTACCTAGGAGTCCAGCACAGAATCTGGGACCCTTAAAATCACTAGCTTTCTACCTAGATCACACAATAATACACTGCTCAATTTATATTATGCTTTACAAATGGTATCTCAAAGACACAGCAACACATAGGGCATTTCAAAATAAGATTTTTTTTAAAAAATTGGGCTATTCTTGCTTCTAGATTCAGAGTAACCCTGACAGCTACTTCTTGTTTGGAAAAAGGTGTGTTGCCCAAATAAGTGAACTCTTTCAGCTGTTTCATGTCTGACCTTAATAAGAGACAAATGGGTTTCTAAATACTTCTCCCCGAGACTACGTTGACTTTAATTTTCAAAATGTCACAATGGGGTTTGGTGGAGTTGGGTTTTTTGGGTTTTCCTTCAAACTTTAATTAAAACATTTTTTACCTTAATTGTCAAAACGTTTAAAGGAGAAGCAACACGATCACATGCTGCCGAATCACTAATACAATGTATGGCTTCGATTAGCTCGTGCATCCTCCCTTCCCTTCTCCTTTTTTCACTGGAAAGTGTTATCTGTCCTTGCACATCATCCCTTCTGCATCCAGCGAATGTCAACCAGCACCTGCTTGACATTGAAACTGACAGAATGGAAAGAAGGCACAGCTCCCACCCTCAAGAAGTTTACAATCTAACAGGATAAGCAGGCTTCACAGGGTAGAAGGAACCTCTTACAGGGGACCATGGTGCCAAGGGAATATGAAGAATGGGCAACAGCAAAGCAAAAAAGAGTTTCCTGAGGCAAGTCACCCAACTTTAACCCAAAGTACCAGGGAGTCATCCGGGCAATATGGTGGCTGGGCTGGAAAAAGCAGGCATAAAAACTGGCATCTCTGAAGGTGGTGAGTGGGGAAGTGAGGCTGGAGAGGGAAGCCAGGACGTAGTGTGGCTTTGAGACATTCTCCGGAGAGCAATGTGATGCTATGAGAGGCTCCAAAACACTGTCATCATATGGGTTTCTCTACAAGATCACTCTAGGTGCAGAACAAAGAAAGGACAGGAAAGGAGCAGTGTCAATTGTACCAAACTGCAGGTGGCCACATAGGAGACAGGCTGGCAGACCTGTAATTGTTAGATGGCATTCAGTTCATGTAGCTTAGGAGAAACTCCCCACAGCATTTTCTAGCCTCATTACGGGAGGCCTCTCTGCCGAATGGTTGGAAGGTTCGAACCAGAGACCTATCAGTTAGCAGTCAAGTACTTAACTGGTATACCAAGAGGGCTAGGTGCAGCAAAAGAAAACGTAAGTAGATTTGAGAGCAACCCAGAGAGTCACAAAGACAGGACCTGGTTAGAGTAGGAGGTAAGAGAAGAAGATGGCAGGAAGGAGGCCAATGATACCCTCCATGACGGCGAGGACTGAGAAGGCAGGGAAGCTTCAAAGGCAAAGAGCAAGGATAACTTCGCAAGACTTAGGAGCAATATATGGCCATCTAAAACAGGGAAGAATATAAGCTCAAGGTGGTCTTTGACACAGGAGGTGACAGGATTGTCAGCAGAGGTGAGGAGAATTGTGTGTGCCAGGAACTGAGACAGAAGTGTATACATACAGATCTAGCTTGCTATATGGATAGCAGTAGATGCCTGTATACATACACTCAGGAGGGAGCTCTGATGACACACACAGTCCACAGGAAGTTACACTCTTAACCCAAAAAGTGGCACCTCTTTGATGGTTCAAATCCACCAGCAGCTCCTGTGTGATTTGCAGCCTTGGAAACCCGACAGAGTCAGCTAGTGTCAGTTCCGACACAGTGGCAACGAGTTGATACGTGCAGGTGAGGCACAGGAAGCAGCTGCATCTAAGAGCCTGTGTTGTCGCTCTCGTCATTTCTGTGAAGTATGGGTAATACAGTCAGCTGAGAGCAAAGGCAGGAGGCTTGGGGAGCTTAGAATAAACACTCCAAATAGGGGGGGATTCAACCAGGGATAAACGAAGTACTGGACAGCAGTGGGAATTTCGCTGATTCTGGAAAGGCATTCTTCCTGTTTGGCCACATGCTGATCACTCCCCCAAAACGTGTTACTGATCATGTCACCCGTCTACTCAGCAACAACCCACAACTTCCTGTATCTGAGACCCTGAACTTGACACTCAGGAGTCCTCCAAGCTCTGGCTGAGACTCATCTTTCAGCTCGCGGCCCTGGTCCCACCCACACACCATCGGCTCAAGGCAGCAGCTAGGTCTCCAATGGTTTCTCTCTCCAGGTTCCACACTGCAGGCAGCTCCTGCTGTCAATTCTGTCACATTTAATCTCCAAGGCTCCCTCAGGTCTGGCCCTGCTTGACGCCTCCAGCTTCTTTTCTGAACATCCATCCATCCATCAGGCTTCATGAGCACACTCATGGAAGACCTACTGTTTTATGTGCTGCATCATAACGATTTTGAAACATGTCTAATTTCCCTCACTACCCTATATGCTTCTTTAAAAAAAATGGGCATTCATTCACCAGTAAATCTTTTTCCAGTGTCTTCGATGATCCCTGCATTGTTCTAGCTACTGGGCTGGGCTGCCTCAGTGAACAAGAAGGCAGAGAAAATGCAAGTCTTGGAATGATGTCCCTATGCCACCGGGTCAGCTAACACACAAACACGAGACAAGAGCACAGTAATTACAGGCTAATGAGTGTCTCAAGGAAAGGCCAGGAAATGCTGTGCAGAAGTAACAGCTACACATCATGCAGAAGGTACTGGAGCTGCAAATGCCTGAGGCCAGGAAGCACTTTGCTCACCTACAGCCACAAAGGCCACTGTGGCAGAGGTAGCGTGAACCCGGCTAGGCAGGATGGCCTGAAGAGGGCGGGTGGCAGGTCTAGCTCACGTAGGCCCCAGGTGGCCCCAGGAGGGAAGGAGCGTGCTCTGCACTGCAGCTGCAAGGAGGAGCCTCAAGTGTTCACAGCAAAGCAGGGAACGGTCTTAGGCTTATAAAGCTCACACCAGCTGCAGGAGGAGGAGGGATTGTAGGTCGCAAGAGGAGAAGCAGGCAGACCAGGTGGGCATTCAAACAGATTTTAAACAACTGAATATATGATGTGAAGGATTTTTATGCTTCTGGTAATGCAATTTTCCCAACCTTTCAGGTTCTCCCCTTATCAGTGCCCAGCTCAGTTCTTTACACAAAGATGTTCAACATATCTTCCCACTAAGAACGCCGAGGTTTCCAGAAGTGATTTTTCATAGTGAGTCCCTTTCTTCCAAGCAGGAGTGGCATCCACTTCCTAAACAATATGCCCTTGGAAACTCTATGAACTTTGATAAATGATGATAGTTACAGAAAGGATTCGGGCCTTTTGTTCACAGGGTTGCTATGAGTCGTGCTCGCCTTGATGGCAATCAACAACAACTTTCTTGATAGAAGCTCAGGGTGTCCGACAAGTCAGATGGGAGCAGTTTAGGTGAAGGTGACAGCATTATGAGGCACCCCTCGACCACCCCCAGTGTGGTCTACAACACCAGCCTAGCGATGATGACATTTAGAACTGTGACATGACAGTTGATCAGATTTCCTAGGAATGAGAACATGAAGCTCATCATTCTGGGTTTTAATCATTTAAATATAGTTGAAGAAAGAGCTGTTTCCTTAAGGAACAAATATTCAATGCACAGATCACCATTATATACATAATATATATTATACACACAACTTGAAATACAGTGAAGTCATACTATAAAATTGTAACATGGGTTTCACCAAGTCATATTATTGGTCAAGGAACAGACTATAAGGCAGAGAAATTACTAAAAACTGAACATGAAACAAGTTACACCTGTAATCAGATATTAATCTCATATTCTAATACTGCTGTTATAATAGGATTCCTCTGGAGTTGCTTAAGCACCTGGTAAGCTTTTTGGTAGATTTCAAATAATACCCAAGTTGGAATGTCCCTTTAAGCTGCCTTCTGCATTTTTAAGGTCTATACACTAAATCTATTTGCAAACATTAAAATAAAAAAAGGTCTGTGTATAATTTGCAAACAGCTAAAATAAAATCTCCATCACATAATGAATGTTGATCCACTGGGATTAGTTCTCTGCCCACACTTCACTTCTAATTCTATTTATGTAATGAGATTAGCCATGTTACCACAACAGGAAAAGGCATGGATGAAATCAGTTATAAGGGGCTAACTAATATGATGGAAAAAATTCAGTCTTAGATTTAGGCACCTTAGCTTTCCACTCTCTAGCTTTCAAATTCTATCAAAATTATCTCCACTTGAATCATTCTCTTGCTTTGAGCAGTATGAGGAACTAAGGGTGGGGGATGGGGAAAGGGAAGGGGAAGAATAGGATCCTTCCCTCATAGCCAAAGTCAAAGTTATTGCCATGGAGTCTAAAAAGAGTGCCTCACAGTTGACCCTTTAAACTGTTTTGAGAAGCTATAAATGCACAAAGCAGGCTCTTGCCTCTGGTGGATCTGAACTGGCAGGAAGCATAACTCCCTAAAAACTACACCACCAGCATAAAAGATCATCAAACTGACTCCTCATGGGATAAGTCGCGCATACGTATTCTTTGAGGTGAGAAATTTACTTATTATAAATAATATTTTTTATAAAAGTCTATAGAATTGGTTAAACTATAGGAAAAAAGAGACCAATTTTAAAACATCACCATCACATATTTGCCCTAGCTGCCTCCCGGCAATGTCTGTCTTTTGTAAGGAGCAGAGGCATGAAGTCCATGCCAGAGATGGAGGGTGGGCTGGAGAGGTGGGTCAGGTCGTTTCCACCAGTGGACACTGCTCAACCCAACCACTCGAAGTATCAGTTCTCTTCCATTGCTACTATGTAGTCATGTATAATTCTACAAAATGCCAAGTCTTCTGATTTTACCTCTACCCATGCCATCATTTTTAGTTTCACTGAATAAAAACACTAGAAATCTAGAGAATTCTAATTTGACACATATTTCACAATTCTTTCACATAAGTAACTTAATTAAAATTCCCAAATACTGAAATTCAAGCATTTGAAGAATGGGGTCACCATGAGAGTGGACTCAACACCACCAACTACAACATTCTCAATTGCTTCATTTTTACTGCTTGCGGAATTTTATGGTAGGAAGATGTAACAGAAAGAAAGAAATGGCCTGTTGGTCCCAGAAGAATTAAAAAGAAAAATTCCAACAAGGACAGAAATAATCCTTATAGTACATCCAGTGTTCCAATAGAGATGAAGTTCTTATTTTAAAAGAGTGCATTAAGAAATATTATACATCTAAACATCTATTGGTTGTATAAACATACATAAGCTAAATATTAGTGTTAACACTTATGCTTCTACAAATACTTACAAATCTTGAGGAATTGTCATTCCTTACAGTTTTGGCATTTCCAAAAGCTAGGAAGAAAAAACAAAAAATGCATGGTTAAAACTAACAGAACTATAATTACAGGCAGACAGATAAAATAGAACATTTGATATCAATAAATTCTGGAAAATATAACTTGTACCAATGACCTTTCTGTCCAAAATACCCACAGAAATATACAGAAGTCTATATTTCCAGTTTCCAGTTCCTATAAGGTATTTTCAAAGTATCATTCCTGTGATTCATAAACTTTTTTCACAAATTGTCATCAACTTAATCTTGTCAAACTGAACACTTAGTAACTCTTTTATAAAACAGTGAACTTAGTGGCCAACAAGTAAGACTTCAATACCACTCTATCAATATTAACAGTTAGAGTGAATAAAGTTATTTCAAAGAATACATATATAATATTGCTAAACCATTTGTTTACAAAATTTGGTAAGGTTTCTAGATTATGGGGGAAAAAAAGACATAAACATTTAAATTTTTGTTTAATTTGAAACAAAGCCACATTAATGTAACTGGTTATAGAACTCTGAAACACATAAATAATTGAGAGATTTAGAAACTAGTTTTTACTTTTTTAAACATGCTACATTATATAGTAGTTTATGTCCTTTAGTTCTAAGTAAAACTTTCCAGAATAAAGAATATCAAATTGGCACATAATGCAGAATACAAGTTCTTCAGATCCTGGCAGCTTCTAGGAGAGAGACTCTCCCCTAGGGTTCCCTTTAAAATAAGGGTACACATGAATGACATGGTTGGCACTGCCCCAGGTCCGCACGACTCTCTAGTGTAACAATGGTAATATCACACATGGTCATTAGGTGAAAGGGTTGCTTCACGATGTTCTGCCTCACTAGGGGGCAAATGAACCTAGATCATGGTAGCTTATAACTAAACAGGCAAGCAAGATGGGTTTCATCAAGTCAGTTCTGAACCATGGCCACCCTGTGCCTGTCAGGACAGCACTATGCTCCACTGGGTTTTAAATGTCTGGTATTTTCTAGGATATCACCAACTCTTTCTTCCAAGGCATCTCTGGGTGGATTCAAACCTCCAACTTTTCAGTTAGCAAATAAGCATATGAACCTTTACACAGCTCAGGAACTGCTCTGTTCACCACCAGCGAAATAATTTTATATAATCCCTGCAACCTTGCTAATAATGGGGAGGGGTTACCAAGCAGTTACAAAAACCATGGCACTGTTAATGTTCTCCTAGGCTAGTACTTACTGTGTGGTGGGTGTGAACTTGTAAGGTGCCCACTTAGCTAATTTGCACAGCCCCAAAGTCCAGACTGGGATGCTCATGCATAAAGCACAGTTTATTGTGGCTTGAAGGTCAGGGGCAATCCAAAGAAAGACTTCAAAACAACTTCACTCAGGGCATCATTTGCAGACCATAAACCATCTTTTCATCCAACAAATCTGAGTTGCACATTACTCGACAACATTCCCAAACACTGAGGTCCTTTATCATGAGCCACAGAATAAAAAACAAGCATTCCATTATAGAACACTCGAGACACATTCCTCGATTGTTTTTTTAAGTTCATTGTTCAAAATGTTCATTTACAGTAGCAGCTCCAGTGAAAAAGTAAAGCATTCCCATAAAAGATAATGCATGCCCACGGTGGACATTTCTTCCATTTCCTGCACCAGAGCCTCATTTCAAATTCCACCAAATAAAGAGTCAGATTCTCATCGCAGATGCAAGCGCTAGCATTCCACGGCGCTGCTCCTTCAGATCACAGCATTCTTAGAATAAGCAGACACAGAAATACAGCGTACGTAGAGCAAACAACATAAAGGCAAACGACCAAAACCAAAGTCAACCAGCAGGACAATGAAATGATGATAAAGTGTTTTATAAAACAGCTCTTCTGTTACTGAAGGTTCTAAGAGGAAGAGATAGCAATAGTTACTCTGCTACTTAAGGAAACATAATAGATCATTTGGATTTGCTTCTTTCATTTTTATGACAATTGTTTCACTACCTGGGGAAGAATTTTGTGTAGTGTTTCTCTTGACAAAATGGGGAGACTGCAGCATGAAATGGTGTCTGGGGTCAGTGTGACAGCTCGGTATTCAGAAGTCCCCAAGGCCCATGGGAGGAAAAGGGAAGGAGACCCAGATGGTGCTGTCACTACCCTCTGTTGGAGGCTTGAGTTCACCCAAAAGATACCACAGAAGAAAAGATCTGAAAATCTATTTCTCACAAGTTAGACACTGAAAGTCCCTCAGGAGTACAGTTCTACCTTTTCAGAGAGAGTTACCATGAACTTGAATTTTCTTAATGACAACAGGCTAATCACAGACAATGGGATAGAGCTGTGTTCCCCCACAGTGAGGTGTGCCCCTACCACCCCCGGCAGCCAGGCTGTAATCTATGCTAAATATTACTCACCAATATTGTGAACAAGCAGTGACCGAAACTATTCCTCTAGCCAAGTCATTGTCATCCCAGAGTTATTTTGAGTCCCCAGCGAGCACTGGGCAATGTCCAGGGACATTTCTAATTGTCACAAATTGGGAGGAAGGATGCAAGGGACACCTAAGTGGGCAGAGCTAGAATGCTGCCCATTTTCCTACAAAACACTGGACGGCCCCCAAAACAAATAATTACCTAGCTCAAATGTCAACAGAGCCAAGCCTGAGAATCGCTGCTCTATCCCAACAGCTGTGCTGACAAGACAGCCAGCCTGGGCTCACTATCAATAGGGAAAGGATTTGATCTCTTGCTTCTGATGGACGGCTGGCTTACACTATCCCCTTGCGTAGTAAGAGGGCATTCTCTGGCCTTGTTTTTTTAGATGGCCAACTGAATCTAAAAATTCTGCAGTCGGGTAGGCTCCTTTCTGTGGCTCTGGGAAAAACTAGTCCTTGAGCGTTTCTCTGGCATGGCCTTGGTTTCCCTGACAATAGACATAAACAGCCCCGGGTTTCATCCTCGTGGTAATTCAGTGCTATTTCCTCAAGGCTCTCTCCCACTAAATTCTTCCCAGCCATCCAATCAAATACAAACATCAACGTCGTAATAATGACATCAACACTGAAAGCAAAAAAGAAAAACAATTATTCTAAGTGAGAAAGCTCCTCTAACATGGTCAATTGTTCATTCCCTTCAGTCTTTAAAGAGGAGTTTCTAGGATTCAGTTTCTTTGCTCTGCATAAATTGCCCCAAATTCTCTTCCTTCTTCTTCCCTTCACGCACCAAAAATTCCCATTGTTGTCAAGTCTGTTCTGACTCACAGCGACTCTACTGAATGGAGAGTAATCGCCCCATAGGGTGCCTGAGGTCTTGTGGAAACACTGCCTCATCTTTCCCCTGTGGAGCAGCTAGTAGTTCAAACTATTGCCTTTTTCCATTAGCATCTGAGTATTTTAACCACTATATCACTAGGGTGGCTTCCCAGGACTCAGATGCCCTGAAAATTAGATCTAATGCTTCAGTCATACAACTTAAGACATATAGAAAATCTTACCTTCCAGGACTGGGTTGGACTGCAGAAGCTGCTCTTTGACTTGGTTAACTTCTGCTCCTTTTCCACAAACAGCTGCTACGTAGGACATAACAAGCTTGCTGGCCTCTGTGGACAAAACCCATGCCGTGTTAGTAAATTAATCAGAATTTTTTTAAAATTGTGAACAAGTACTGGTAGGAGAAAGCAGTCTCACTAAAAGTTCTTTCTGGAGCAAATCATATTTCCAAAACCTTGTAAATACCAGTGTCTCTATTCCACCACGCCTCATTTTTCATCACAATAGAGGCTCTGCTTGAAATTTATCACTAGGCTGTTAAAGTAAGAAAGAAAAAAAAATCCAACTGCTGGGTAACATGACCAGCAAAATCTCAAGAGAACTATCTTCCTGAAGCAATTACTTACAGGCAATTACTATACAAATAAAATGATCCAATCTAAAATAAACAGGTAACTTGGATAGCTTTACCAAATGTATTTCAAAGTTTAAAAGAAATGCTTTTCCTCAAAAATGTTTTGTAAATTAAACTTGTTTGCCTACACCTGCACCAAACTAATGACTCCTTATCCTGGAGGAGTGCAACCAAAGTGTTTCTTAAAGGCAATGGCTGTAAAACTATGTCTCACATACTTGGTGCATGTTGTCAGGAGAGGCCTGTCCTAGGAAAAAGACATCATGAAAGCCAGAAGCTCCGAGATAACCTTCAAGGAGATGGACCAACACAGTGACTGTACCAATGGATTCAAAGATGTCAGAGATCATGAAGATAATGGTTTAAGAGTGTTCCCTTGATTTGAGCATGAAGCTGTCTTCTGATGTTCTATAACCAAGCCTCTCAGAGACCATTCAAGGACCAAGATGAGATGAGCTCAGACTTTCTTCAAAAAAGGCACCAGAAGCAGAGTTCATGGGCTTTACATCACTTGGCTGCTGAACTATATACAAACCCACAGTATCTGCTGGGATCTAAATATGAAAACGGAAAACAAAACTGGGAATAATTTTTATGGTTCATTTTAAAATCTATTTCAGTAAGTCAAATATCACTTTAAAATCTATTTCAAGAATAATGATTTTCAAGTTGTTTTTAAAAACCCACACAACTTTTATGTTCATATTTTTAAGTATCTTTGGGAATTCTATTTCTGGTAATTTAGCAATTCACTTTTTATAAACTGAGCTTAAGAATAATTTTCTCCCCATAAAGTCTTCATTGTCAAAAAGAGATGATTTTATACTCCCCTCCACCCCCATATAAATCTTGATTTTTAAATTTAAGCAGTTCATGGGATAGTCACGACTTTAGGAAAGGAAGAAACCAATAAAGATGTGTATTAAAGTCCAACATAGTTTAGGGGGAATGTTTTCATAATATTTTATCCTACTGGGAACAGGAAATAATAGTACTCTCAAGAGACTTTCTGTTTCACTTCCTTTTTGCTCCATCTGTGCCAAAGTTCAAATAAATTTGGATCTGTAGTCAAATATTTAGGTATTTATCCAAATCAAATCATTATGTAATAGCTCCTATTAATAACAAAAAACCTACCATACTATGGCTGTATTTCCAAGGAGCACAAGAATTGAGTATCATCCTCTATGCTACACAGTCTAGTTTTGGAATTATGGTTACTAGACTAAGGATCAAACAGGAGGAGATACCCCACTTGCTGAAAACTGAGGAGGACCTGAAGCGCTTGCTGCAGAAGGTCAAGGACTTTAGCCTTCAATATGGATGGAAGCTCAACATCAAGAAAAGAAAGATTCTCACCACTGGGCCGATTGGCAGCATCATGGATGGTGAAGAGACTGAGATTGTTAACAGCTTCAGTTTGCTTGGCTCTACAATCAACACTCTTGGTACCAGCAGCCAGGAAATTAAAAGATGAATTGCATTAGGAAAGTCTGCTGTCAGAGACCTCTCCAAAGTACTGAAGAGTAACAATGTCAGTCTGGAGACTAAGGTGTGCCTGATACAGGCCATGGTCTTTGCAATTACTTGCATCAGAGAACTGGACAATGACTAGGATGACAGAAGGAGAATTGATCCCTTTGAGCTGTGGTGCTGGAAAAGAGTATTGAATATACTATGGACTGCTAGGAAAACAAACAGGTTCATCCTAGAGAGGGGAAGACCAGGCTGCTCCTTGGAAGCAAGGATTCTGAAGCTTTGTCTGACATTCTTTGGACATGTTGCAAGAAGGGATCAAACCTTGGAGAGGGACGTCATCCTTGGGATGGTAGAGGGACAGCACAAGAGAGCAAGACCCTCAATGAGATCAATTTAGTGACTGGATGAATGGGTATAGGTGCGTCAGGGACAATTAGATTATCACAGGATTGAGCAGCATTTAGGGCTGTTGTACACAGGTTCTTTATGAGTCACAGGCAACTCAATGGCACATAACAACAGGCTAAGTATAAGAGAAACATGATGTGGCAATCACAATAAAAGGGTCATCAAAACCTTTATTTTTTCGTACAACTGAATACATCAATCAAACCTTTCTGGTAAGCCCACAGACAAAAAGCGGGTCTTTCATGGTATCACTATTATTTATTGTCACTGAGTTGGAACTTCAACAGCTGGTCTTCCATTGGTTTCCTGAGGCTGTAAATCACACGGGAGGAGAACGCTCATCTTTCTCTCATGGAGTCATTGGTGGATTCAGATTGTCAGAAAGGCACCATCTCTGGGTTACCACCAGAGCTCCATCCAAATTAATAAGTAGAAATAATATATCCAATATATTTATAAAAGAATGCTTTCAAAGAGCAGTGAATGAGTGAAAAAAAGGACAGAAACATTTTAATGAAAGTCATTAAGACTATATGTCATGAGTTGAATTTTGTGCTACAAAGTGTCATTAAGGTGGGCCACATTTCCCACCACTGTAGGACTACTTCCCATTTTGCATCTTGGTGTACTTCTCTTCCTTTCTTGTAAATGCTGTACACCCTGACCTCTGATTTCCGTTAACAAGGCAGGACTGAGTGGTATTAAAAGGATTACGTTACAATGCTTGTTACTAATGAGGCAGGAATAGGCTAAGATTCATCACCCTTATTTCTTCTATTTTACAAGAGATAAAAGGAGAGGGGAGCTAGGAGCTAGGGACCTCAGCATCACCAAAAAAGAAGAGCCAGGCGTAGAGCTCATCCTTTGAACTCAGGGCTCCTGCACCAAGAATGTCCTAGATCATGGGAAAGATTGGTGTCAAAACACAGGAGTAACCCAAAGGAATACTGGCTCCACAAATGCTAAAAGGAGAAAAATATCTTCCCTCAAAACCCACAGAAGGAGAAAGGCTTCCCCGGGGGCTGGTGTCTGCATTTGCACTTTTGGTCTCCTCAATTTGTTTGTTAATGCCATCCACTCATGGTATTTTGGTTACAGAAGCCCAAGATAACTAAATGAGTGGGCCATGGCTGGATTCAACTACTGTGTCACAGGGGAAAGGTGAGAAAATTGTTACTATTAGCTGATGTAGCTGATGTCTCATTGACCCTGAATCACAGCAGCTCTGCACACAAAGCAACAAAATGCTGCCAGTGCTGTCATCCCCATGATCACCTACGGGTCAAATCATTGTGATCTAGGAGGTATTTGTCCTTTGTTTTCAGAAGACCAGCACACCTCTTTGCCCTAAAGTACCACACCTGTGGATTAGCTAAGTAACTTCCTCAGGATTCTCTTCTTCTGGAAGCTCTCCTGGAACCTGTTCCGCATCACAGCAACATGAGTGTGATGGTTCAGGAAATGCTCTGGCTGGAAATCAAACGTGGATCTCCTATGTAGGAAATTCAAAGTGTTGTTGAGGCAGCGATAACTCACTGTAACCCTGTGAACAAGAGGTCGAAATCTTGCCCTATCCTGTGCCATCCTCTCAAACTCCAACACACTCGTGCCCATTGGTGCAGTCACTGTCTCAATTCATCACGTTGAGGGCCTCTCTTTTGTCGGCCCTCTACTTTTTCCCAGACTCTCTTGACAACATGTCCAAAAGTATGTGAGATGAAATCTCATCATCCTTTGCTGCAAAAAGCAACCTGATTTCACTTCCTCCAAGATAGTTACGTTTGTTCTTTTGGCAGTCCATAGGCTATTCAGCACTCTTCTCCAACACCACTGCTTAAACGCATCAATGCGTTATTTATTATCTTCTTTATTTAGTATCCAACTTTTACATGCATATGGAGCAACTGAAAATATCATAGCTTGAGACACTGTTACTTTGGTCTTTAAAATGGTATTTTTTTTTTCTTTAGCATGTTAAAGAGGTCCCAGGCAGATCAGTCCTATATAATACTTCAGATCTCCTACACAGAAGGTGACAATTCTACCACTGAACTACCAATGCCCTTGGCATGAACATAAGCAAGGTTGATGCTAAGTCTTTCTTACAGAGTTCTAATAAATGTATTCAAGAGTAAGAGGTATCTACACATACTTACAGGAACCTGCTAAATCACATACCATACATCACACTTCATATATACTCACATTTATACACACACATACTGGTATGCTTATGCGCCTCAACACCTCTCTTATCTATTACGTTAAGATACTCAAGTATTTCTAGAGACTGGTCTTACCTTGCTCTGATGACTCAGTAGTGTGATAGAATTAAGGATGTCTCCACCACTAAGGTTTGTGTGCAAGAAAAGAAGTATGCTGGCACTTTGAGGAATACAATAAAACTGCATACAACCTGCTTCTTAAAGAGGTAAGTGGGCTTCACAATTTCAGATAATTCATACAGAACGTGTGGATCTCGAGGATCTGTTCTCACATGGGGAAGAAACAAAGCAAAAGCTCACTATGTGCTGGCTGTGGCTTTGCCTTTGTTGCCCTGCTTCCATGTGAACATTTTCAGTGTTGTGAGACACTCATCAATGTTTGGGCTACGGTAAGTGAGTGGCATCCTTGTCACTGATGGAATCAGAGAACTACCAGGGGAGGAGTGCTACAAGGTCATCTGAAGGTCAGAACTGAAGGTTTTAAAAGTAAGAAAGGCTAGTCTAGCAGGCAGCTAAAGAGTTCTTAGAAACTGCGTATTTTAGAATGTTTTCATACGTCAAGAAGATTATCCAAAATTGGCTG